CAGATATTTGATGTATAACATATAAGCGAAAAGGTCACAACGAGTAAATAGATACCCAACATGCCCAGGTTAAAATTTGTCTGTTTGTCTGCGTCTGTGAAACTGCGACAAAGTTCCGTACCCCAGAAAGTCCATAGACATCGCTTTAAAAGCCTCCACAGTTAAATATTGGCCCTAGAATTGTTGCTCTCACTCTGGCATGTGCGGCGATACCCAGCATGTGTACCACGATTGTTGTTTTCGTATGCAGGCACACCCGACGCTTGTTTACTTGAAGACGCACATGCTCATGGGGGCGGGGGAACTTTAACAAATTTGTTTTAATTATTTTTACATTTATTTAATTTAATATTAGTTTTTAAAAAAGTGTTTATTTTTCTTTTTACTTTACTTTAAATGCTATCACATAGTGGGGCTTACCATCCCCAATGAGATAGCATATTGGTGGTGACAGGTACTCTTTAAGGTGATACAGGGTGTGTAAAAGACCCCTGGTATCACATTTACACATGAAATAAGCTATTGAAGTGGAGATCGCACGGACATTTTTTGGGAGAATGATTAGTGGCTTATTCATATGTAAATAGCGCCACCCATTCATATGGAAATATCACAGTCAAGACTATTTTCAGTGGGGGGCCAGTGGCCCTTATCTTAATTTTGGTTGCCCCTGTCTGCCTGACATCATGTGTCTGGGTTTCAGCAGCCATGAAACCCGGACACAGCATTCAAAACCCGGACTGTCCGGATGAATCCCGGACAGGTGGCAACCCTACGTGGCCTACCACTCTGTGGCTGAGTTGCTGTTGTTCCCAGTTGCTTCCTCTTTGTTATAATACCACTAACAGTTGACCGTGGAATATTTAGTAGCAAGGAAATTGCACTCGTGGACTTATTGCACAGCTGGCAACCTATCACGGTAGCACACTTGAATTCACTGAGCTCCTGAGGGCGACCCATTCTTTCACAGATGTTTGCAGAAGCAGTCTGCATGACTAGGTGCTTGGTTTTATACACTTGTGGCCATGGAGGTAATTGCAACACCGGATTCCAATGATTTGGAGGGGTGTCCCAATACTTTTGGCAATATAGTGTATATAAGCGATCTGGGGCTAACGCATGACGGAAGCTTAATCCCTTAAGGACCAATGACGAAATTATTCCATCGTGGGTCCTTATGGCATGGACAACCATGACGGAATTCCGTCATTGGTCCTTTAGGGGTTAATGTGGTAAGTGAACACACTTTAAATCATGTTATACAAAAGCTAAGTCATAATAGGTGAGAATGCACACCAAAAACTCAAAATCACTTACAAAGGTGGAAATGTCCTTTAAAGCATGTTATACAAAAGCTAAGTCATAATAGGTTTTCAACTCTTGCCCGTTGTGAAAAAACGGATGGACGGCGGACTCACATTTGCGGGTTGCCGTCATGAGACGGGTTTTTTTTCCTGCTCGCCCACCCGTTCGTTACAGCTGTTACAGGCTGTTTGACATGCATACGATCGGCGGTTCTATAGCCTACCGTTCGTATGTATGTGCTGGCTGGCTGCGCGCCCCCCTCCTCAAGTGGCTCCGCCGCCATGAGTGCCGCCACCTCCTGACCCCCTCACCTTCAATCCCGGAATCCGCTAGCCCATCTGCAGCCCGGGACCGGCTCGGGAGGGTGTCAGGAGGTAAGATGGGAGGGAGATCAGCAGTAAAAAAAACCCCACCCCACGTTTACGCACATAAATGTAAATACACTTTCGATGCGCCAGCGTGTGACAATTGCACTACACATGTTACATATCGCCTCAAACGTTGCAGTGAGTGCAATCATTTTAGGACCATCAATCACTGATAACACTAAACTGATGAGCGGTAAAAGCTTTTAAAGCGTCGCCTATGGCCAATTTTGGGTATTGTAATTTATTGAGGTTTCGCACGTGCGCGCAATTTTAAGGCTTGACATGTTTGGTGTCTATTTACCTGACGTAACCCGATCTCTTATATTTTAGCAAAAAATTGGGTAATAATAAATGTTTTATAATTTAATTTAAAGGAAACTGTTTTTTTTTTTAATTTTCTGTAATTTTTCCTTAATATATAGGTGAGAATGCACCTATATATGGACCCGCCGATCGCCTATATGTGAAACACCCGGTAACGGGTGTGTGCATTTAGCGGGTCTTTTCTGCCCGTGCGTGCCCGCTAGGGGGCGCGAGCGAGCAGAAAAAAATTGCCGTCTGGAGACGGCAACCCGCAGATGCGGCAGTGCCGTCCGTCCGTTTTTTTTACTACGGGCGGACGGCAAGAGGTTAAAAAATAAAAACCCCGGTGGTGATTAAATACCGGCTCAAGAAAGCTCTATGTGTCCCCAAAAAGTGGTATAACATTCATTTCAGTACAGCGTTGCATGGCGCAATAAATGTCAGTCAGCTGAATACTGAAAAAAGTCCTGGACAGGAAGGGGGTTCAGCACCGTGGACTTCAAGTGGTTAAAAGAAGGGCATACTGCTTTAAAGCATGTCCTTTAAAGCATTTTATACAAAAGATAAAAGGTTTTTAAAAGAAGGGCATACTGCTACTCGCAGTGCCGTACTTGGATGTGGTTGATGAAGACTTCCAGCTCTTCGCTTTACTAGGGAGTAACTATTTATTCCTCTACAGGGACCTAGCTATTACTCTACAACTGAGCGCCAGGCTTCAGGAGAGCTATATAGATGAGGGGGGGAAAGGGACACCCGCCTAGCCAATCAGATCTGCCCGATTTAACCATAGCGATCAATGAGGTGACAGATGTCACACCAAATCACCCTCACATCCTCTGCAATGAGTATACACATTCTGTATATATAGGGGGAATACATTTTTTTCTACAAAGTTATGGAGATTGAGTAGTTTTGGTTTACTTTGTTTCTTCACTCACTGCCATTACAAGTGTAGTAGTCTAACTATTTCTGATTTGACTCTCCTCCCTCCCACCATAAATGTGCTTTTCCTATGACTTTTAATCTTTAAAAGTCAACGGATCTTTGTGCTTTCCTTAAACATGCAAATCTCCAAGCAATGAGCCACAGGATTGGTCGGATGGACCCCGCCCCACATATGTTAATACTGTGTGAATGCTGGAACTGCAGCTGCATTCTCAGTGTCTGAGCAAGAGGGGCTTCTAGAACACACTGGAATGCAAGCCGGCCGACTCCGTGCGTTCAGGGGCAGGGGGGGCGTGGGGTTGTATTGAAGTCAATGGCACCGCAGCCATGCTCCACAGCCCACAGTGCGATCGCCTGCCTGCTATCTGGTCCAGTGCAATCTGCAGAAATAGTGCTTGCAGCATTTTTGCAGATCGCACTGGACCGGAACGCAGGCACTAATGTGCCTGCGTTCCGGGCGATCGCACTGCGGGTGAGGGGCGCGGCTGTGGTGCCATTGACTTCAATGCACCGCCATGCTCCTTCCCCCCCTGAATGCAGGTGTTGTTTTGTTGGTAGATCTCATTGAGCTTGTCATTTGAAAAGTAGATCTCCTAACGAAAAATTGTGGGCGCCCCTGCTTTATAGACAGCCTTAATTAGCTCACATTTTTATGGTCTATTGGTATGCTCTAAATTAATGATAATGGTGCAATCTGGCCCTCTTCCCACTTTCAATGTTCACACAGAAAATCCATAAACCTCTCTTTATTCACTGTATCCTATTTCTACCATTTCTGCTTTGTCATGAGGACTTACATTGCATCACGTCTCTGGACTGAACATATGTGATACTATAGTACTCCTATAGAATTTGTGAACCTGGCTTCAGTTACTGTTTCTGCTTAATGTAATGGCTCAGCATATAGAGGCTGAAAAATAACATGGAAGTAAAAAGTCTAGACATATGCCGACCACAAATGTCCATGTTAAACATATTATGACCATGTATACCATAGTCTGCAGACATTCTATTGGGGGCAGAAAGTTGTATTTAATATAAATATAAATGGAGGGAATTTATCATGGCAATTGCCAGTGTTTGAACTTGCATGGAATATATTTGATGCACTTTGCGTCAGATTTATGATGCTAGTGTAATGTTGTTCATAAATGAGGTTTAATAGACTCCAGGAAAGAAGACTGGTAACTCCAGGCAAAAAGCTGAACTGTCGCTTCTTGAAGAAGTGGCCATGGGGACTTCTTAAGTTGGGATTGTTTTGTTAGGTGATGCTCCAGTTTCAGGCAACCGCAGAACAAGTGCAGGTGAAAATGGGTGCAAAAAACATGCAACTGAAAAAGCAGTGCAAGCTCGGGTCAAAACAGGTGGAAAGGTGACTCCTGAGAATGCACACACATGCCCCATGCACCACCACCCACCCACCACCCACCATGCATTACCACCAAAAACTCAAAATGACTTACAAAGGAAAGGAAATGTCCTTTAAAGCATTTTATACAAAAGATAAAAGGTTTTTAAAAGAAGGGCATACTGCTACTCGCAGTGCCGTACTTGGATGTGGTTGATGAAGACTTCCAGCTCTTCGCTTTACTAGGGAGTAACTATTTATTCCTCTACAGGGACCTAGCTATTACTCTACAACTGAGCGCCAGGCTTCAGGAGAGCTATATAGATGAGGGGGGGAAAGGGACACCCGCCTAGCCAATCAGATCTGCCCGATTTAACCATAGCGATCAATGAGGTGACAGATGTCACACCAAATCACCCTCACATCCTCTGCAATGAGTATACACATTCTGTATATATAGGAGAAATAATTTTTTTCTACCAAGTTATGGAGATTGAATAATTTTTTTACATTTTGTTTCTTCACTCACTGCCATTACAAGTGTAGTAGTCTAACTATTTCTGATTTGACTCTCCTCCCTCCCACCATAAATGTGCTTTTCCTATGACTTTAAATCTTTAAAAGTCAACAGATCTTTGTGCGTTCCTTAAACATGCAAATCTCCAAGCAATGAGCTACAGGATTGGTCGGATGGACCCCGCCCCCCATATGTTAATACTGTGTGAATGCTGGAACTGCAGCTGCATTCTCCGTGTCTGAGCAAGAGGGTCATTGGCATCTGAATAGCTGTGCTTTCCTTTGTCCGGAGGTAGAGTATGATTTCCACTGCAAATATACATCCAATATTTTTCCAAGAAAATGTACAATTGCAGATTGCTAAATTACTAGTGTTAGTGTGTATTCTTCTGTTCTACTACATGTCAATTATATCATGTGTATTTGTACATTTACTAACTGCTGTTAACATTTATTTCATTTACAAATTCAAAGCATTTACAATCTTCCCCTAGTACAGGTCAAGGGTTATTAAACCCTCGGATGTTTTTGCATATATCTACTGCTAGCAAGTAGTAGATATATACAAAACGATAAAAAAAAAAATGTATTCAAAGGGTTTATACTTACCTGTGTCTCCGCCGCGCACTCCCGTCTGAACATACATCTGAAAATTTCTCAGGTGCCCGCAAAGGATCTTGGGGCGGGCGCATGCGCAGTTCAGATGTTGAGTAGAGAAGCAAGGTAAGTCTATGGCGCAGCGTGCACCCGCACAGACTCCGTGGGACACGAGAGAAGAGGAGGACAGAGGAGTCAGCGATGGATCCAAGACCTGCACCAGCGCTGGAGGGACAGCTAAAAACTACAGGAAATAAGAAGAAGATGGGATTAAGAGGCATCATTTGAGGTACGTCCCTAAAGCAGGATTGGGAAGGGGGGGAAACAAGTTTGACTTTCATGTCACTTTAACATAAGTGTGCAGTTTTATGCAGATGAACCCTTGTGGCTCATCTGGTGTACACCTTGCTTTGTAATTAAAGTGGTGTCCATGGGAATGGAACATAGTCCTCTAGATATAATACAGAAGTGCCAGAATTAGGAGTCCAACCTTGATTTTCAGTAGTTACTGAGAGATACTAGTTTATATAGTAAAACTTCTTACCTGATACATTTTCTTTACTCATTAACATTGTTATTCTAATGATTAGCCAACAGCTCGTAACCAATAGGAAAAAAGTAAGTAATTACCAGAGCTTTTATAGTGCCTGTGATCTTTTTTTATCCACTAAACCAATAATTGCAAAGAGAAGCAAAGCCAACTCTTTTTTGGGCTTTACTTCTCTTTTGGAACCCAGGAGAACATTTACTAATGTATCACTGTGACCCAAAGTCACTTATCTTTTGTATCTTAAAGGACTCGGATTAAAAGACTTTTTACATAATATTATGAGTTTTGATTTGGATCTTACGGAGTCTTCACGTGTATTTTATGGCTACATCTGCCTTTTATTATTTTGATAAAAACCGCATGTTTTTTTTCTGTTGCATTTAAATTGCCCCTTCAATCCAGTACAAGGTAAAGTGTTGTAGGGACAAAAAAAAAGTTTGTTCAGTACATCTTTTTAGCACATGCACATTTCTCCATGTTCTTTCTTTTTTAAAAAACATAACAGTACAGAAACATACCTGTTAATCCTGCCAGAAATCCAGCAAGATGATAATTACCTGTGCTGCACTGAACTCACACCCACTGTTATTACTACTGCCCTGTTCTGTTTTGAAGACTAGAGAAAAATCTCCCATGTTATGGAGATGAGAAAAGGGGGAGGTGTCCTATAGACTAAATCAGGATCAAGGGTAAAAATGCAGCATCTGCATAGATACAGACAGTAAATGAGCATTGTCAGCCTAGGACAGGAAGTGTGAAAAGCTGACCATACACTGTTATAGACAAAGCGTGGATAGACAAATCTCCCACTGGGCAGATGTTTTCTGATAGTGGCAGTCGTGCAGCTGTCAGAATATCCAAACAGTGAAGGCAGCTGATTGGCTGACATCACTGTTTGCCCGAAAACTTTCCAATCGGCTCCTTTGATTTTCTGATTGAAGGATGCTGAAAGGAAGGCTGCTGACAGGGCCACCCACTGAATTAATTACAGTCAGTTCATTAGGATCTGAACACATTTTGTACAGTGACCAGCTGGCAGAATCAGTAGATGGAAATAAAGGAGAAAAACATGAAAAAACAAAACAAATGCAGCCATCACATCTCAGGGCTGGTAGTACGCTGCAATATATTATTTGTTTTAGATATATTTTTAATGTGAATTCATAGAAAAGTATCTCAAACACAAGCCATTTTTCCACAAAGTACCTGAACTGCTGCATTTGAATAATGCTGGCCATCTATCACTTTTTTTCATTCAACCCGCAGGCTGAACAAAAAAAATTGATCCAATTCCTCCATCAACACAAACAGCCTGTCGATCGAGGAATCACTGCTGTTTACATCGTATTTTGACAGGTGGCACCTGTTAGAATACCCAATCTTAGTTGGCAGCTCATTGGCTGCCGGTTCTGATCGATCGAAAATGTTCCAGCCATCTCCTTCGATCAGCTGATAGAGGAATGCCAGCTGAAAGGGAGCCGACAGCCCCACATACTGTGCGAATTTCAGCCGGTACATGAAAAACCGGCCAAAATTGGACCAGTGTATGGGCACCTTAAGGCTGAAGCTCATACATAAATTATACATTAAGCAGACTCATGCAGATTGGTTTTATATTTCTTAGCCTTGGATATGGGTGCCACTGGTCTTTGTACTTTATGCAATCTGTTAAGATGATCAAAATCCAAAAGTTCCAAGCTCCATCTGAGTTGAGAAATATTTAAATTGGCCATCACTCAATATCAGACCACCCAACTGTGTGGGGTGGGGCTACCCCCTTCTTCTATGGCACTGCTTAAAAAGAGCATGTCTGTGAGTGTGTGAGATTGTGTCTGTGGTTGTGTGTGTCTGTCAGTGTTTTTGAACGCCTGTCCCACAGGCCCGTGCAAATGAATGCACTGTAGCATGCTTTCTGGTGCGAGAGGTGGGTTGCCATTTATTTGAATGGCACCCCAAACGCACCTCCTGTCCACGGTTCGATTGCCCGCACCGGAACATGCTGTACCGCAATGCCGTGCGTTCCAGTGTGGTGTGACTTAGTGACCAAGGACAAATGTGGGTCCTGAGCTTACATAGGTTGAGTACCACTGATTATAGGTCAACATCTCTTTCTTCCACTCTACTTTCTATTGTTACGTTGTACCAAGGTAAAATATTTACTATGCAGCAGGAGTAAGTTCACCCAGCAGAGTTTAGTTACACATTGTTGAAATCTGCAGATAAGTGTTTATTATAAAGTATTAGTATGTAGCCTTTGTGTGACAGCGGCTAACTAGGATTGTATGATTATGTAGGATGCCAACTCCCAAATTCTAAGTCCATACTGTGACAGACTGAGCGATTTCCTCCAGTCATTTAGCCTCATTTAATACTCTATTAGGCCCCATTCACACCTAAACATTGTGTTGCTTGTCACCAGTCAAGTGAAGCTTGAATAAGCACACAAGCTTCTTTTGGGGCAGAATCGTGTGTTTTTGGCCTCTTAGATTTTAATTGAAGTGCCTGAAAGATGTTTGTATACAGTACACAGATGTTTTCAAATGCTCTATTTAAAAGTCTATGGGGTTTCTGGTGTCAAAGATTTGCAAACCAACACTTTGGGAAGCACTTTTTTTAATGCAGCCATACCACTGCTTTTTAAATGAGCCCCAAAGTCAGAAGTCCTTATCTGCATACTTGTTCTGAGTCAGTGACTCAAACGGTTAGGCCTCATCCACGCAGCTAATTTGAGCCGCACATAGCAAAGAAACAGGGTAAAGCTATGGTGGGGATCATGGGTGTTTGCAATCAGCCGTGGCTAGGAAGTCTGGACAAATCAATGACAGGCTGACAAAAGCAGCAGCTGATCTACTCGATGTGCAGTTACATCATGAAACTAGAAACAGATGAGTGGTCTGTGTCATAAACTCTTTGCTTACAGGGCCACTCATCTGTCCCTAATTGCTGTTACAGGCAAACAGGCGCAGTTCCTGCCAGCCTGTTACTGATCTGTACAGACTTCCTGGCCAGAGCTGAGCACAAGCACACATTGTTTAACTCACGACTAGTGTCTTTTTGCCACTTCAGTCTGAGTACCAAGTTTATTTTTGTTGCCCAGTACCATTAATACTAGCTCTATCTTTCTCCATAGTTATAAACATGCACACTTGGGTGATCCTGGTATGCATGTTTATGGAAAGATCTTTTTGCACTGGGATCGTGCATACATATCCAACTGCACTTTTATGTCAGTTTCTATACTCAATACAAATGTACATAGTTTTTGACTTGTGTAAAAATCGCAGTGTGAATAGGGCCTCAGTAAGTAAATACACTTTATCAAATACATTAAGGTCCGAAGCATATACTGTTTAGGTCTTTTTAGGTGTGGTAAGGGGATGTAGCTTACAATTATGTATTTTTAGCAAAAGTTCAAAGTTCTTTACTTTCTAGTTACAATGAAGATTATTCTGACTCCGACTGTTGTATTGGCGATTTAACCCTTGCTGAGACCTCTATGCCTGGCCTGTATAAGCAGATATAATTACTGCGGACAATCCTTCATCCAAATGCTTCATCGAAATGCTTTATTTAATATTACAACATGTTACAGCAGATGAATGAACAGATGGTATTTGAAGGTCAGAAATGGTAATGTTTTCAAGCAAGCATGTACATGTGCATGTGGCCATATTACAGTCAGCCATGACACCAGAAACGGCTACCTCATGAAAAAAAGGGAAATACATAATAAATGGGAGGAAAGATAGAAAACGTGGTGCAATAACAAAAACGACCCCAAGATGTCCGTATATTAACCAGCTATACAACTGCTATAATACGTGGCATAAGGAAAATTAACTATGTGATTCTCATTTCACATTAATTTATATTAACCATAACTATGCATTGTGTAATGCTTTTATTCAACTGTGTAAGAGCACACACATAATGAAATTGGCGTTATATTTCAGGCTGGAAAATGCTTTTTATTTTATTAGTAAAAGGTATCCTGTTTGTACATGATTTCTTTAGTAAAGTAGCACAGTGCTGAAAACCATGGCAATCAGACTTCTTTCCTCACTTGTGTGAACTCAAATCTGGTTGTTCTAGGTTATTGCCTTCTGCATATAGTAATGTAACTGTGATTAGGTCTGTTCTTTGTGGAGAATGACTACCAAAACATGCGGCATAGGACGTGTCATGCTCTTGAAAGTACTGAATGCTGAAGAGTGTGAAGGAGGCTGTAGCACTGGAACGGAATGAAAGTAATAGACAAGGGCCACCAGAGAGGTTAGTATACAGCGTCTTCCTTTGCAGAGAACTGCTTTTGCTTTGGCCAGATGTTTGACGCTACAGCAGAGTTCCTGTAAAGTGAATTCCGGCTAAAAATTGTTCTAGTTTTGCATAGAAACCGTTTAGTCCTTGCTAGTCATTGCTGTCTTTTTCCCCCTCGGAGAGACTTCTCTTCATTTACTGTCCAGAAGCATCACAGGAAGTTGGACAAAATTTCTGGAAAGTGAAGGATAGTGCCACCTTTAACAACTGTAACTGAAACAGGTTTCCCATTTAAAAGTTACCCTCTGCTCCTGTTTCAGTTACAACGGGTAAAACTTTAGTTTTCTCTTCACCTTGTTTCCCAGTTGATCATGGTCATCAAGGTAAGCGTCTGCCAAATTTAAAATTTGGGTAAGCACAGTGTGACATGAAAATGTCTATTGAGCCAATTTGCTCTGTATATCTTTTCAGGTTGGGGGGTCTAGTAGTGCTTAAAATGCTCCCTTTTAGGGACTGTTTAGGACAACAGGTGTGCATGATGGTCCATATAACGTGCACATGCTGGTGTGCTTGGTGGATAGGTGATGCATTGTTGCAGCACATCGCAGTGTTTACTTTTTTAACTTTATTGAAATATCACAGAATGACACCTCATTCAACTCTATGAACAACAGTGGATTGCACCGCAGTGTGTTGACATGTGTGTTTGTGCATTGCACTGTGTAAAAGTGCAAACATGCAGCCTTTTTTTTGCAGTGCACACCTATGCACATGTATGGTGTGAACAGGGCAGTGAATTTGCGTTAAACAATGCTGATCAACACAGCTAAACGCATCAAGCATGAACAAGCTATAAATGTTTGCCTACATAAAAGTTTTTTTATAAATGTTTGTATATTTATTATACAGCAAACATTTATTTCTGACTGGAGTTCACCTTACAATACTTGCTATTTTATTTACAGTTTTTCCACGTTTAACCACAGAGAGAGCTGTGTCTGATAGCAGAGAGGACATATGACCCATGCCAGATATTTCTTTTTATCTGCTTAAAAACACTTTTAGGATGTATGTGACCTTATTTTACCTTCATGACAGTTAAAATTACCCCCTATGGTTAACACGTGCCTTTTTAAGTCTGAGGACCCAAGCCCACTTTGGCGATTTTGTGTGCTGTGTTAACACATGCACATTAAAGCGTGATGTGTCACGCACTAACATGCATTGTGTTAATGCAGCCCATTTATTTTCAATGGGCTACCAATGCATCAGTGCGGACAAGAAAACATATGCGCAACATTTTTTCCCATGCAGTGCATGGTAGTGTGGTGAACTGCAACACATATGTATTAGATCTGCATTGCCCTGGTTAATTTGCATAGTGTGAACCAGGCAAAAGAGAATAATTGTTTTCTATGTGCCCTTGTGTTGAGTCTACGTTGACCTATGCAGGACAACACAGCGCAATGCCCTTGGTGGGAACAAGCCCTAAAGAAAAGCATGTAACCCTTTTTTAACAATGCAGTGCGGTGCATTTTGTGTTGCCCTCTACTGTACAGTGTGTCAGGGTGCCATTCACAATTAATACACCACATGTAGAGCAGTCTAAGACGTTCCAATGGGGAGACCTGTTCAGTGTAAACTGTCAAAGGAGGGATTTCCTTTTTTAATCCTTGATATTTGGTATGTATGTATGTATGTATGTGTAAAAAAATTATGATATGTTTGTGCGGTTATGCCTTATCTTTAAGCAGATAAGTATGACTTGCAAGTTTAAATATAAGCATGTTTATTACATGTTTTCACCTTGCTCATGGAAGATTGAACAACAGGCCAATACCGAGACATACTTTACAAGTAAAATATGGTAAAATACTGTACCTCCTCTCTGCCTCAAAGGTAACCCAGAATTTCCAATGTTACCTTATTATTAATACCTACTATACAACAAACTGTCACACAGTTTGTTTTTTTCAAGCTACAAAACTCTTCCTACGGATGAACACACTATGATCATGCCTCCGTTTAGGCCTGATGCAGTGGCATAGTATACTTTGCAAGCCACTAAGCGGCTGAAAATCATGGTGAGCTTGTCATCAGTGGGTTGGGCCCATCTATGACAAAACAGGGACACACTGTCCCCGAAGAGTCCTTGGGAAGCTCTTCCTCCATTGGAGAGGTCCTTAAATTGGTGTAGAGGCTCTAATCCCATGTATGCAGGCAGAGTTCCTGGAAAGAACGCTGCCTGTTCTCTGGTGCCCGGGCCTGGATTCTCGGTGCAGGCTGTGCGCCTGGAGGTCATGTGGGCCAGAAGTAGTACTGCTAGAGTCAAAGAGCTGGAACAGAACCTCCTGTTTTGTGGATGCTGTGTGATGCTCATGGATGCTGAGACCCACCCAGCAACTGCTACCTGAGGAGCTGTAAAAATCTTCTGAAGAATTGAACTATTCCACCTGATTCTGTCAACACTTCTACATAGTTTTATAATAGATTTGGAACTGTATCTTCAGGACTGGATATCTGATTTCCACCACAAGTGGCAGTGAAGGCTTTAAAGGATTTTTTTCTCCATGTCAGCCTCTAAGCTGCATATAGAGGACCCATATAGAGGACCCTCTCCCCGCTGTACCAGTATTTAAAAAAAAAAAATGTTTGGCATTGGTACTTGTGCCCCCATGACAGTGCCCAGCTTCCCAATTATTTTTTTTAAATAGCTTGCCTATTCACCATAAAAATGGGCAGAGTTTACATAAAGGATTGCCCCCACCTCCACCCCCATAGAGGTATAGACATCATTGGCCTTGTACGTGATGATGTCAGAGTGCCTGCGAGCGACGGATCGGTGAAGAGAAATGGCTTCGGGGGGCAACCGGTCGTGTTGCTGGGAGGAAACCTGTGGGATTGAGGGATAAGGTAAGTAAGGCTGCTTTTTTATGTTACCCCTAGACAAAAATGTTGATTTTACCCAGAATTCAGCTTTAAGCTGCAAACATTTTGCCATATGGTCTTCTTGTGCTCTCAGAGGCTTATGATGACCCAAGTATCAATGGGAGGCTATGTGAGTCTTTGTAAACTTCACCATTTCGGCATGAAAAGCCTCCTACAATACTCAGTTTGGTAATCAGAGCATATTCTTTGTGAAAATGCATTTAATATTTAATGTATGTGAAAAAGGCAAATAAAGCTTATGTAATCAGTTAAAGGAACGAAAACCCTAACGAGAAAGTATAAGCAATTTCAATGATAAAATGTTGACGTTTGTAATTTTGGAATAATCCTATGACTTTTACATTTTACTGCTACTACAAGCACCTCTGCATATTTATGATACTGTATTTATGTAGAGATTTGAGGATTTGCCACAAGAGGGAGCTCTAAGTAGCTTCGGGTAGCATTCCCTTCAAGTAGAAAGTAAACTATGATCAAAATAAAAAATGACTTATATGATGCAGTCTGTCAATAGCATACACACAACAGTCTTTGTTTTTCTAAGTCTCTCCTGTAACATAGTTTTAGGGTTAGGGTGATCTGGCAAGTAATTCTGTTATTTTTCAACTTTCTTTAACAGACCAACTTGTCCAAAAAAAGTGTAAGGTTGAGGCAAACTGTTAAACACTGACAGGAGAGCTTACAATGGTACGCTTTTATTCAAATAGTTAAAACCTTTAAAGGCTTTAGTTTGTTAGTCACTTCACGTCCATCTAAATCAACTAGTTGGTTTAGCTCCACCCTCTCCACAGGTTGACAATGCTTCTGTCCAAGGGTTACTATGTTGATCCTCCATAGATACAGTAGAGGACTGAACATAGGCACCCTAAGACAGGAAGCATGTTACAGGCTGGATTACATGGTGAATATAAAGGACAAAGTTAAAACAGGAAAACTGATGTAGCCACCGAAATCTAATGAATAGTAAAGTGCAATATATAATTTTTTGTTGTTTTTGGGTTTATATACGCTTTAACTGTTTAGAAAAGCTATCAGCCACATAAGAAGGGCTTTGTTTTAATGATTTGATGCCATGGATTTGCATTATGTGAAGGAGCACTAATGCACAATCAGTGTGTAACATTGCTAAGCAGAAAGCAGGGCCCTAAGCTGACCACAGAGTGCCCAAATGTTAAGTGTTCAGCATGAAAATTGAACAAGAGAAATCAACCGATTTACCCAATTATGCTAACAGTGTGGATGGAGGAATCTTTACGGTGGGATATTGTATTCAGGAAGCCTCCAACAGCTATCTGAATACAGGTACAGTGACTGCATCTGTTAGGATGAAGTCATTGTTTGACCGGTAATTTTCCACCCAGCTCAGTCCATTTTTCAAATCATGAAATTTGTTGAGCTAGGTGGTTCTTTTGAGCCACCTATGGCCAGCTTCGGTATGTAATAAGCAAATGTAATAGACCCCATATACATATATAACTTTACATTTTACAAAGTCTTTTAGAACATTAAAAGGTATCCCTTGAGCATATTACTAAAAAAAAAAAAAACACTTAAAAGACTATACATTTAATTTAACATCATATAGATTTTGGACCACATGAATATTCTCATAGCCCTTTATATCATTTTTTCTAGGACTGTAATCATGAGTGACAATAAGCCAGTGGTGCTTCACTACTTCAATGGAAGGGGGAAAATGGAGTCTATCCGTTGGGCACTTGCGGCAGTTGGAGTTGAGGTTGGTATAATACAATGCTATGTTGTTTTGTCTCAAAACCTAATGCTGTCTACCTATAAAATGGTCACAAAAGTTAATTCTGTGATGGACACCATAAATGATTTGTGTTTGCTGTAGTATAAGTCCAGATGATGGATTCCGCAGTGTAAATTATTTTCCATCTTCTGCCATGTGCAATAAGTGGTTCTATCTCAAACTTTTGCAGCTGATTTACTAATTGGAAAGTAACACATTTCTCAGCTGGGAGTCAACTTTAGACTATGTGTTAATTTAGACTAGGTGTAAATGCGCATACACAGAGGACAATAGTTTTCTAATCATGTGCCTTTGAAAATCAGTTAGTGTGATGGGAATGGAGCCCAATCATAACAGATTTCTGAAGAGCTCAGTCTAGTGTAAAGGAGTTAGGGCCTAGTTTTCACTGCTGGGATTTAGTTCCTGTTTTTTCTATTTGTTCTCGCAAGAAATACTTTTTATTCATCACTGCCACTGAAGATAATCATCTCTGAAGCTGCTGGCTTGTGACAGGCTGGATGATATAGATGCTTGTAGTCTCTTCAGTTCGAGCTATTGAGTGTATGGAGTTCCTTGCTCAGTTCGAGATTGGCTGCAGGTCTTCCTTCTCCTGTCACAAATGGCTTTTTTATTCACAAGGAAGAAGGGAGGCAAGTTCTCAAAGTTCTTACCCTCCTCAGGTGCCATACATTCTCAACAGTATGTCTGTCAAGCCCAAGCATAGGTCCTTCTTCAGGTGGGGGACGTCTTCCTTCATTCACAGATTTGTGGTTGACCCAAATTTCAGTCAGGTGGGTTACAAGCTGGTACACAATAGAGTCCCTATAAACTCCAATTTTTCAAGTGCACTTTGTGATGGGGTGGACTATTACCAGTTTGTGGCCCCTTCTTTTTGTCTTGACTTCTATTCCTTGGGTATTCATCAAAGCATAGGCCCCTGTTTTGCCCATATGGAAACTCTAGTTTATCTCAATTGTCAGGTACTTGGATGACCTACTTCTTCAAGCAGCATTTTCTGGTCTTGGAATCCAATCACACATTGTCCATCTGGACCTTGGAGAAATACTGTATGTTTGGCCTCTCAACCTCAAGAAATTCGTTTTTGCCCTTCTTACTGGAGTACCTGGCTCTAGTAGTGGCAGGCTGACATTTTCACTCATCAGAGCCTTGAACAAGGACCGTGGTCTCTTCCCTCAGGAAATAGGCAAAGTCCTGTAGTACAAGTCTAGTTACATGCAATAACATTTTCACTGACAACTTAGGCTAGCCTGTACACAACTTTATTGTTCTGGAACAAGAGCACAAGGAAATCCACCCAAGTTTGCAGGCAGCGATGTGAATATCCTTGCCTTACAGAATGTCTTCTTTGTTCAACTTCTCTAGTCTTTGCTGTTGTAAAGTAACTGCCTTGGGTCATCCAAATTATCAAGATTAAGAGTTGTGTCCATTAATGAACAAAAGAGAAAGTAGGATTTGTTTGTATTTACTGTGAAATCCTTAGCTCTGAGGACATTGACAGATACTATTTAGGCCTGATATAGGACAGATCTTGCCCTAAAACTGCCCACAGTCTTTAGGTGATTGTTGTTCATGCAAGCATACAGCCTGCCCATTAAACTGTCCTCTAATGTAAAGCGCTGCACAAACTGTTGGCGCTATATAAATACTATGTAATAATAATAATAATAATAATAATAATGTCTATGTTCATCGTTAGGGCTTGAGTTCTGGTCTTTTTTTTCCAATTTGCCTTCCCAGTGCTGTGTATCAACAGACATTTCATATTTCACTTTTGAAGGTTTTCTTGAACAATGTCACTGACTTAACTTTTTTTCTTGACAGTTTGAAGAAAAGGTATTTGAAACAAGGGAGAATTATGAAAAATTGCTTAAGAGTATGTATTTGTCACGTTTTATCCTATCTATGTATTTCCAAGCAATACCTGCCTAAACTGGGCTCTAGACTGTGTCCTTGTTACATAGCAAATACTTTAAATAATGTATAAAAGTATTAAAGAGAATGAGGGTAATTTATCAAAACTGGGGCAGACAGAATCTGGAGCAGTTGCTCGTGGCAACCAATCCACTTCTGTCTTTCATTTTCAAAGCTTAACTGATCAAACTGAAGTGAGAAGCTGATTGCTTACTATGGGCAACTGCTCTAGATTCTGACTGCTTCCGTTTTGAGAAATCCCCCCCAGTGTATTTCATATTCCATGTTCATAATTTATGAGTACATATTACTGGGATGTTTGAAATCTTAACTCCAGGCAAACCTTTACCGTATTTAGGTTTGGACAGAGTGGGGAAGGTATAAAACCCCTGCCAGGTTTTTATTGCAGCCAATGGAGAGATTTCTCTTTACATCCTATGGGTAAACAGACTGCAACAAAACTGGAAACAATTAAAACCTTGTTATTGATGTCTTTGTGCCCTGCTGTCACAGACTGTGAGGGGGCAAAACGTGAGGTGAAATAAACAGTAATTACATTAGACAGAAATACTGTATATACTTTTTTCAGATCTATCTAGAAAAAAAGTTCTGCTGACTTTCCTTCTAAAAATGTTTGCAGCCTGGCTCTATTGTGCCAGTATTTGGGCTCACTAACCCAAAACAGGTATACAGATAAGAATTTTTGACTTTTCTTAGCCCTCATTCACACCTACATTTATGTGATAGGATAACATGTGGTTAGGAGTGGATCACTATCCCTGGACGCATGATCGATGCATTCAGGTATAGTGCTGTCTTCCTAAGCACATGTGGTTGAATCCCATACAATAAATGCGATGTTCCAGTGTTCGGCTGCTTTTAAATGCAGCCGCTGTCATCCGATCACTAACTTGAACCGCAGATTAGGGAATTCTGTGGCGGGAAATCGCAAGTTCATGATGCAGGAATACCTAATCGCACCTAAAATATAAATGTGAATGGAGCCATAAACTTTTCTGATCTGCATACGTGTTCCGGGTTGGTGACTCAAAGTATTTAGACCCAAGGGTCAGCATTAAAGTCAGATAACAAGCATTTTCGGAAGGTCAGCAATGGTAACTGCTCTATGTCCCTCATTAGGAATTCCTTTACCACCTTGATGATGCCAGTCTGTAGTTCAACGCTCTCAAGAACACTTTCCCATGTTGAAAGAATGTTTGTCAGCGCTGTGCGCTGACAGCCATTGGTCTACAGCAGAGAAGGGCAAACTCCGACCCTCTAGCTGTGGTAAAAATACAAATCCCATCATACATTTGCCTCTGGGAGTTATGCCTGTGGCGGTGAGAGCCTTGCAATGCCTCTTGGGATTTGTAGTTGCACCACATCTGGAGGGCTGGCGTTTGCCTTCCCCTGGACTGCCGTAAAGATAAGACACATATCAGCGTGGTTGCTGATCATGTGATTATCATGACAGCCATTCATTCACATTGGCAGCAGCTTTTTCTGTAGCCTGCATAGAGAGAGTTACAGCTAACAGCTGAAGCCAGCAGGTTGCAACTATCACTGTATATATCCATTACTAAATAGGGAAGCTGATCACATTTCTTTATCAAAAAGGCCAATCTGTAGCTGAAATCCAGTAGCAAAAATATGAATCAGGAAATAAAAATGTGAAAGTCTTGGCAAATTAATTTTAGGTAAAAGTATCAATAATAACTTCAAATGTCTATTTACTACAAATTCATTATATCTACTCTTTAATTGCACAGGAAATATAATACAGGCACAGGAAAGACAAAAACCTAGCAGTTTTCAATCCATATTTTTCTTTGCTGTTTACTACACACTGACTGGGACTCTATCTAGAAGCCAGACTTCCTATGTGCTTTACAACTGTCTTCCAGGCTAATGGCAATAATCTGAACAGGGCCGGATTTCCCACAAGGCCAACCAGGGCCCGGCCTCGGGGCAGCAGAGAGTAGAGGGACAGCAGGGGTGTGGAATTCTTATCTCCCAACACACGGGACATGCAGTTCTGGCCGCCGGGCGGGTAGTTGTTTTCTACATTTAGCCCTGCTTTGGGCAAGCAGGGCTAAATGTACAGCGGGGAAGCCGCTGCTTGTTTTGTAGTGAGGTTGCAGAGATCACTTGTATGCAGCAAGCATACAGGGGGGCACATTGAGGAACCTGGCATTGGGGCAGCAGAGAGAGTAAATCCGGCATCCGGCCCTGGACCTGAGGACCTTTTTTCATTGAATTTTCAGTTCATAAAAAAAGATTTTTATAATTGAATATTTTTTTTTTCTAAAGACACAGTGTTGTGCAAATAGATAGGTGTATTCTGTTAGGAAATCTGAACATCCTAATCCATCTGCACCATTGCTTATGTAATCATTTAGAATATAACTGCTGCAGGCACTTTGGTGTAGACAAAAGGCATTTGCATCAACTTCTATAATTAAACAGCGTGCCAGTGAGACCTGAATAGCCGGAATGCCAGGAGCCTTGTGTAATGTTGTGTCAGACATCTTTGTCTGATTTTAAATGTACTGTTGTAATACGGTTACATTTCACAAACCCATGAAAGGCTCAGCTGACCTCACACTCCAGATTAACCCTGAGGTGCATACAAGATGCACAGCCTATCTGCTAAATGGTTTAGTTGTTTATCCAGACATTGTTGTATTACATCCAATCACTATAATGGCTTGTTCACACCGCATGCTGTACGTTCCAAAGTTTTGCCACACGTTTGATCGCACTGGGGGAGTGGGGG